TTGCTATTACTATTGCTATTGCTATTGCTATCGCTATTGCTATTGCTATTGCTATTGCTATTGCTATTGCTATTGCTATTGCTATTGCTATTGCTATTGCTATTGCTATTGCTATTGCTATTGCTATTGCTATTGCTATTGCTATTGCTATTGCTATTGCTATTGCTATTGCTATTGCTATTGATATTGATATTGCTATTGATCGTAATTTCGTTTCTTTGATGCCAGTGTATTGTCCTTTGATGGTTTTCTGTGATTTTCAGCTGATCTCCTTTCTTCTACACCTGTTGTAAAGAAGTTATCAATGTTAATGCATAGACGTGTACACGCCTATATAAGTTTTAGTGACAAAGGATTAACGTGTTCACGCTTATCCACGGATTTGATAGCAAATTATAAACGTGTTCACGCTTACTATTTGCTAGAGAAAAGATTATATAACGTGTTCACGCTATTCAAGGATTTCGTAGTAAATTATAAACGTGTTCACGCTTAGTATTTGCTAGAGAAAGGATATCACGTGTTCACGCTATTCAAGGATTTGGTAGCAAATTATAAACGTGTTCACGCTTATTATTTGCTGGGAAAGGGATAAAAGATATATATAAAAAAAAACACAAAAATAGAAAGGTGCTTCTTTATACTTAGCTCCGGTAATGTTTCCCAATGCTTCACTTGGCGAGTCGATCACTAACTAAAAACTTCTAAGGCAATGCGTCTTCTTATATACTCAACAGTCGAAACTCTAACGTAGCGCAACTGTTTGTTTTACGGCTGGTTTGCCTTTTGATGTCATTGTGTGCATGTAAATTCTTATTCTGTTGTTTTATGTACAGCTGGTTAATTTCGCCGTGGTTGGTTTTTAGTTGCGCACGCATTGCTTTCTCACCTTTTAGCCGCTGCATTGTTTTGCTTTTAATTTGTCGTTCGTTAAAACGTGTGTTTCTGATTTAAAAATAATGATTAAATAAATAAAAGAAATATTTAAATTCAAGGTATTTCTTTATTTTAACTCATTATTAGTGTTACAATTTTTTATAAATTTTAAATTCTTGTAGTTGCAATGTCGGTACGGACTAGTGTGTTTAAAATAAATTATGCAGACCTTTATTTTCATTGACGTGCATTACCATACTTGCTTTACTCTGTGAAGATTTCGGTGAAATAGTGGGAAGCAGGCATACGGCCGTCGCGATAGAACCAAGCCAATCGGAAAAGTTCACAATAGTTGGATGTGATTTCAGAGATTTTGAATGTTGTACCCACTCATATTGCTTGCTCGGCGGTATCTTACGAACCAATGCAGCCATAATAGTTATATCACACAAATAATGGCCACAATTAACAGCTTTTAATACTGACACTGTGTTTCGAATTTTTGTTGAAAATTGTACAATTTGCTATAATTTGGACTCTCCAAACGACAGTAGCTCTTGCAGTTTTGCCAATTGCTCTTTGATAATCAAATCTGATCTTCCAAATCGAAACTCAAGCTCTTCAATAGAACTAGGCACATCGCCTGGATATATTAGCATTGACACAACAGCTTCACGTGCTGCACCAACAAGAGATTTTTGCAGCCGCATCAGATTTTCCCTGTTGCTATAATTAAACATCTTTGTCGTGTCGTTGTAATTGGCGTAAAAAAGTGGCAATTCCCTCGGTTCGCTATCAAAACGAGGCAAGTCATATATTATTTTCTTTTGGCTTCTCTCTGCCATTTCTACGTTAGACTCATGTTCTATAAATTCAATTTTAGCACTGTTACACACAACACTGTTCTCTATTTCATCATCAACATGGCAATCCAGAGACATAGTTTCTATACGTTCAAGCTTCTTCATAATTGCATTAAGTGCATTTGTCGTCGAATTATCTTCTAGTGTTTCATCTGCTACACTATCTTTAGCTTCAGTCATTTTTCCCGCTTTTTTCATTGTCTCCCGATTCTCAGAATTATTTCTCGTGTTTTTTCCACTTCGCAGTTTCATAAAACATGCAACACATAGAAATCGTAAAACGATTTAGACGCACAGAAAAAGTAAAAACGAATGTTTTAATTTATTTAGTATATAACATGTATGTATTATTTTAACTTACTATAGATATTTTGCAACAATATTTATGTAAAATATTTATGTAAAACCCTTATTGTTTTACGGCTGTATACCGCGTGTCTCCTCGTTGGCTTTCGGCTGCTGTCATTACACATGACAGCTTGTGGGCTTGTTCACTGCAAGCAATTTTGATCAGGTGTTCAATGCAGGCAAATTCTCAGCAATGGGAGTGCATTGACAAGCTGAACATACTTGGCTGGAATAATCAGGTGCATCTAATACGGATTCCGGGACATGCTGATATCCAAGGCAATGAAATGGCAGACAAAGATGCAAGAAGAGGCGCAGCATCAAGAATGATAGGTCCAGAACCATTCTGTGGTCTAGGCAAAGGAACTCTATTTATTCTTATGAATGGTGCAGAGGAAAAAGAAAGAGAAATCTATTGGGAAAGGATACCAGGACTCTCACAATCTAAAATGCCGTTAGGGACTTACAACCTTAAACGCTTCAAAGATTGCAAAGCACAATCAAAAAATAACCTAAGAATTATTACGGGATTATTGACCGGTCACTGTAGATTAAAAAATCACCTATCGAAGTTAGGAATTCAATCCACCTCAGACTGCAAATACTGTACAGAAGGGTGAAAAACTGCGTACTATGTGCTTGGGGAGTCCCCGGCACTGATGCACAAGTGGAAGAAACACCTAGGAGGGTATTTCATGGATCATAAATATTCAAGACTAGGAGAGGTAGGCTCTATACTGTCTCTCATTAAAGAAATCGGACTTGGACAAACACTCTAACCCCAGTAAGGGCACAATAGATCTCTTAGATCCAGTGCACAATGCCTTCTTTTTAATAATTTTAAACGAAATAATTTGATTTGTTTTAAAACCGATATATTCCTATCGGAATAAATTTTTATAAGAAACAACAAAACACTTAAAGATTTGAAACAAAAATGTATAACCAAGATTAATAAAAATTTTTGTAAAGACGTGGGTAATAATTGTGTAACGAAGAATATGAGTTAAAATTTAAAAAATTAAAACAAAAATGTGTAATTAGAAAAAATAAATAAACTTATTGTTGATGCGCCTGAACTCAAATAATTAATATATTGTACATTTGATATATTGTATATTGTAAGTTATATATTTAATATATTGTACATTTATATAAAATTAAAAATTGTTTAATTAATTATTCTAACTACTCCATATGTAATCTGTAATCAAACCAAAGGTTCTAATTCTTGCTCTTGTTTTTGCGCTCAAGATGATCAAATTATGTTATCTTTTTTGGCTGCAAGTAAACTCCGTTGGTTTGATTCTGTCTCTTGTTTATCGAACGCGCAAGTGTCAGCACACGGATGCACACAAAAAGTGATTAAACAATAACTCAACAAAATTGTAAAAAATTAAATAAATTTAAATAAATTTTACAATTATCAATTATAAAAATGGTTATAATATTACACTAATTACTATCATATTTGAATAAAAGAATATGCTACACAAAGTACATCAGAACGACTATTAATGAATAATAAAATTTTAATAAGATAAGACTATGGACAAGTAGCAAGGAAGAAATGTTGAATCAATAATGATAAATAAAAAATAAAAGAAATCTAAGTACTTGGCATTTTTATTTTGGTTTCGGGGATACAGCAATTTAACCTATCCTTTTTTGGATAAATAACAAAAGCGTGAAGCACTTCCGCTATGTACTGGAAGGCAGAGAATTTTCCATTTCGTAAATCACTTCAGTTTGATTCCACTAAGAATGTCGACAATGCTAGTCAGATGCAAATCTGGCATTTGGATTTCTTTACCCAATATACAACAACATTGTTGCAGACGGTCCAATAGAAGTTATTCTACCAGCGAAACAATTATTTACAAAGAACTTTCTCGCCAGCAAGAGACTGATGAAGAAATAAAAATGTTTTTCAACGCAGATTCGAGTTTGTAAATCAAGCCCATCGCTTTGCTCAGTTCTGCTGTGTCAGTGAATTGCAACATTTCTACCGGGAACGTTCGTCTGGTTATGAGAAAGGATTTTCGCAAAATCACTTTTGATTCAATTTACAACCTTTGTTACTCAAACGGTAAAAAAACTCACAAATTATTAGCATCTGGCCTAATATAAAGGACTGTTATATTTGGACCCAATCCTGCACTGCAAGCATAGTGTCCCGCCACAACAAGGCAGCTGTTCATCAGTACCTAGTTGTTTCGTCTCATTTTGACCACATCAATATGGATACTGCCATGCTCTGGAGGTACTTGTTATTGCTTGACAATTTGGCAATGATCAATCGTTTCTCACGCTGGTCTGAGATTTGCCCATTGCAGCGTATTTCTGCCAAAAATGAAGCTTTCGCATTCTATTCCACTTGAGCTACAAGATTTAGCGTGTCGTTACTCGTAAACACAGATCAGGGCCGCCATTTTGAGTGCTATTTATTCAAGAAACTGTCTAAACTCCTTGGAATTGAACACTTACGTACCACGACTTATCACCCCGCTTCTAACGGTACTATTGAAAGGTTACACAGGTCTTTAAATGCAGCCATTAAGTGTTATTAAAATGAGAACTGGGTTGAAATCTTTCCTCTCATTTTTCTCGGACTTCGCAACTGGTTTATGGTACTGGTTCACGTTTATCTGGGGAGTTTACACAGAAACTAAATGGTGACGTCACAATCCCTCAGACTAAATTTGTTGCTAAACTGCGAATGTTTATGAACGAGTTACTACCTTCGCAAACTGTTCTGGATATGGTCGCAAGATACTTTTCCGTCTTTCGAAAGGGGTAGTATCGTCAACATTCATACATTGCAGCAACCACAAATTTAATTTTAAAGTGTTCACATTAAAAAATTTAGTTTTGAAAAAGTTAGTAAGAAACACGTCTTTAGTTCTCGGGTTAATAAGTTGTTCGGAACATAACAAACAAAATACCTATATAATATATATAGCATTGATCGTTTTATTTTGTGTTAGTAAGAAGTTAAATACAAGTCACAAAAAGCCACTATAAACCCTTTTTCTGGAAGATTTTACGTCCATAATTACATTTAAGTTTTATATCAGTCCGCAGATATATATGTCGCAGTCTCTAATTTAAACACCTTCAAGCTGTTTTCATAATTAGAGTAGCATCCAGTGTGGCCTAGTTTATTATAACCTACGTTTTCCAAAATTCAAAACGCATATAACTTTTTCATTCAACTAACAATTCTTTGGTTTCCAAATGCCCTGAAACTAGGGATCGTAACAGTTATTATTAAAAAAATAACCAACTAATAACTCTTCTCCTTCGCTTTTTAAAGTAAGCTTCAAGATATAATAATTAAATGCATTTTGTTTTATATTATATAATTTATTATAATATATCTTTCATACATAATTATTTTTATGTGTCTCTTACTTTTCCACAAACAAATAATTCATACTCATATACAAATAACCCAAATAAATAACCCAAACAGGCCCAAATAAATGTTATGGGCCTAAATGTAGATATTTGTACCTACATTAACCTTAGTGATAATCATCTCATCGATTCTTTCTTAAAAATTGATTTTTTTGACCTACAGAACTTTGTTGATATCTTTTTTTTTGTTGATATCTTACTGCAGCCCAATTAAAAATTTTAAATAATATTGCAACTTCTTTAAGTTCTTTCTTTTCAACTCTCTTTCAGCTGAATGATTCAATAAAAATATAATTTTACTTCATCTGAGTTATTCCTTATGATGATTTAGATTAGATTAGATTAGATTCTTTATTATTCAATTTCAAAACAAATTTTTTAACATAAATAAGTAATAAGCCTTAAGTCTAAAAACATTATAGTTACTTAAAAATATTGAATTGAACAAACAAAGAATACGACAATGACTTATAGTCGTCTGTCGGAGATGTTGGTTTAAAATAAATTTACTTTCTTGCATAACGTTTAGAAAATTAAAATTTAAAATTTACAAAATTAAAATTAAGAATTTACAAAATTTAAATTTACAAACTTAATTTATATTTACAATACAAAAAAGGAATTATACAGAATTTAAATTAATTGTATACGCTTTTAAATATTAATTAAAAGGTATTAAATTCATTTATAATTAGTTTTCTGTATTTTAAAGCACTAGTAATATAGTTAATCAATTTTTTCCAGTTAGGATCATTTTCCCCATTAAGCACATTGATTACTTCCTCTTCCACTAACGTTTCTCT